CAGGCGGCAACGCCAGGGAAGTGCCATGGTGACAATAGCGTGCGAGAAAACCCCGAACACGATATTTCAGTCGTCCTGGTCGTTCCGAGGTTGACGGTCGGTCGGTCGGCCAAACCGTATCTTATTTTGACAGCCCCATTGACGCCCGGGTGATTCGGACACGTCTGGCGCGCTGTAAGGCATCATCGCCCCATAGGTAGGCCAACCAACTCGCACCTGCTTCTTCTCTGAATCACTTGGTACAGTCTGACTTTCCTATGAGATCTGGCATCTCAATGTGGGACATGTCCCCGGCTGAAAACTCTGGAGTGGACAAATTTTTAATTTTCACCTTCCACTTTCACGAAACACTTAGATGAACGTCGATTGCTGATGCAACCACGGACGTTACTGTAAAGACATCTTTACACATAATGCTCAGTGTGGAACCCTTTGCAGAAGTCACAATTCGGGAGGACCTAATTAGACAATTCTGGATCATACGAACAGAAAATAAGAGAAACCCTGATAGAATGAGAAGTAATATTTATTTGTTAGCACATCATCTGCAGTACATCTTTTTTGAATTGTTTCAGAATAATCAACAAACACGCCCCTCCAAATAATATTTGACAAAAAATGCACATGCCAAAATAAAATCAACAAATCTATAACCCTACCCAAAGACAATTTGACATTAAGTTCTTATTTTAGTGTTACGATTTTGCTTAAAAAGATTGTCTGAGAATAAGAATGTTTTGCAAAGCACATTTTGATAAAAAGCTACACACTGCCAACAATGTTGGATATCATTAGATACTGATCTAGTAACAGTTTGTTCAAATATACAGGTTGTGAAAGGCAACACCACCATTTTTCATGTGTTCTATTTAAGGAAACACAGCTTTACATCTCTTTAGAGCTGCAAGCACAAACAATTCAAACACCAGTCTATTTAATTTGTTCTTTGCCAAGAGATTGTATAACTTTAGAAATAATGCATGGGGACTTAATTCTTGAAAGATCACAATTCAATAATTAATGGCTTGAGTGTTGATATCTACAATCAGGGTCAGTTTTACTACTCTGATCATTAGGGGCTTAATTTTTAAAGTTAAGGTCATTTTGATTGGTAAAAATTTAGGAAGCCAAGGGTAGGGCGGGGATAATACCCACAATCGAAATAAGTGGATATGTTGTCTTGACAGAAAAAGTTCCTTTAAACAATAAAGCCAAGATGTATGTTTAAAACAAAAGATCTGAGGAAAGCTCATCCTAGCAGATGGTCCCCTATAGATGCATAACACAAATAAAATTGTGAATACCATGAGGCATTATGAAAAATGCTACAAGATAAATAAATTGGGATGGTTTACATTTCATAGGCTTATTCATTTGGTAGGTACTTAACAACCTGATCCTCAATCAAATCCTAGTCAAACATTCTTTAGTTCAAACGTTCCACAAGTAATACCTCAGACAGCACTTTCAATAAATAGAGAGGGCCCATAGAATTTACGAGCAACACCTCAAGAAAATGTTCTTATGGTTTACACTAACAAGCATTCTCTTCACAGATATACAGAGCCACTCACACGACATACAAACTCGTACATACTAACTCGCATTCCCACATTTCCTCACTCAAATACGCGCATATGTTTCCACTTGTGCACGCTAACACTAATAATGAAGCAAATCAACATTGAGCGCCATTGCTAGGCAGCTGCAATCAGTCGCTTTGCCCATCAGGCACAGCAATGACACAAAGATGATTTCACCAAGGTCATTTCTCACTGGCCCACTCTCCCTTTTAAAATTTGAGAGACATAGACCAAATTTTTTATTACTATTCACACCAGGTAAATAGTCAAACACCAATGTTGGTATTAAAAGGAAAAAAAAAAGAACACTTTTAAAAAAATGTTATGAACCAAGATAGTATTAACTCCAGTCAATATCAAAGATATGAGAGACCAACAGGGATCTTTAAATAACAGACAGAAAGTAACCTCGATTAAACATTACAAGCTGGGCCATGTTCAAAACCTTGGGCCTCCTTAAAAGTGTTTGCAAGACTAAGGTTTCAAACATGGCTTCTACACATAAACATCAAGAACAGGAATGACCTACATTTCAGAAGAACACAGCTATCAGAGAAATAAAATCCAGGTAGTTTTTATAATAAAGTTCCATTTAAAACAAAAAAGCTGACGTTTCAAAATGCTAGATAAATGAAAATAGTCCTCACATTTGATAAACTCAGACCTATAAAATTCACCTAAATGATGCACTTTAACGGCAGAAACACTTCTCAGACAACAGGATTGTTCAAAATGATCTACAACCCCTTACAAAGAAAAGAAAAAACTAGATGTTAAAATGTAACAATGCACATGGTTCAAGTTTATCCCCTCTTGATATCGAAGAAGGACTGCAATGTTTATAGCAACAAATGATGCAGAACAATGTAACAGTGATTTTAGTCCCTATCACATGAAGTGTTCTAGGTCATATGATGGCCTAGCATCACTGCAGACAGCTGTACATGAACTCCTGTGCTCATCTCTTTAACTTGAATGGATATATGCCACTATTGAAAGTCTCTCTTGCAAGGGAGTTTTGGAAGTGCTGTGCCTCTACAAAAAGTAGTCAGGGGTCCTCCTTGTGACATGTGGTTCGCCACGCCTTGGTGCTGGATCAAACTGCAGGCTGTAAGTAAGGCAAAATTGTTAGTAACCTAGAAGGTTTGAAAAGATTTGACACAAAAGAAACCTGTTTCATGCTTACAATGAGTATTTCAATGCATCATCCAGTTCCATAATTGCTGCCTGATTTCCACAGCGGTAGCAGTAGTTGGGAGCCGAGAAGATAGTAACCACATTACGATCATGACACCTGTAACAAACCAGCCAAAACATATTACACAAAATTTCTTGAGGAAAAACCCATAAGGGAGTGACAAATACATAGAAGTATTAACGTACCAATTATAACCTTCCATGACAAGCTGGTGAGCCCGGGAGACAAGTGTTAGACCATTGGTGTGATTGAATGTTTCTGATATATCTTGGCCAAAGGTATAACCTGCACCTCGGGGTGAGATACCCCAGCCTCCTCGATCATCCGGATCAGACCAAAGCAAATCACACATGGGACCCTAAACATAAACAAAAAATAGAAATTAAGGATATTACTCTTTCCACATAAACTTTTAATCTTATTTTCATCTATTTGAAGAAACATACCTCATGAGGAACTTCCTGTAAGCGGTCCAGAGCTCGAATGTGATCCAGTGTGTCAATTGATGGTGACAAGCCACCATGAAGGCAGAATATTTGTCCATCAACCAAGGCTGTCAGTGGTAGGTAGTCAAACAAGTCCGTGAAGAATTTCCAGACATTTGCATTTCCATACTTGCGGAGGCACTCGTCATAGAAACCGTATACCTGGGTAATCTGACGTGATTCATGATTACCTCTCAAAATTGTTATTCTTTCCCTGTAGCGCACCTGTACCCATAAGATTATATTTATTTTAACAGATTTCACAGAGAAAGAAAATGAGATTTAGAAATGCAATTTGGTACAAACCTTAAGAGCAACTAGCAATGTGACAGTCTCAACAGAATAATAACCACGGTCAACATAGTCACCCATAAACAAATAGTTAGTATCTGGACTCTTGCCACCTATCCGGAAAAGCTCCATCAAATCATGGAACTGTCCATGCACATCTCCACAGACTGTTACTGGGCATTTCACTTCTTGGACGTTGGACTCTTTGGCTAAAATTTCTTTTGCCTGAAATAAAAAAATGGAATATTCATTGACAATAGAAAGTCAAAAGTGCATAGAAGAAAGATGAGGTTGCTTTAAGTGGGTATAAGCAAAACACCAAATGTCCAGAATGCCGCTGAATACAAACAAAAGCTTATTGCGGGTAAAAACAACAACAAAACCTGACGCTTAAGACCTGGTTGAAAAGAAGATGGAACTTCCCTAAAGCATATGTTAGACACAATCATCATCAAAATGCGATACAAAACAGCAATAAGCTAAATTTTCAAAAGCTAATTTTTTTTTTTTTAAATGATGGGTTACTATCAAGGCACAATCTAACCTGTCAACATGGAAGGCCATTTGTGACATTTCCCACCAAAATCAACGCCTTTGACGTACAATCGCTAGGAGATGTACAAAAGTGGCACAGTCCTACCTACTTAAAGGTTTTACAGGCATAAAATTACATCATTTTGTGAGTAAGCCTATCATCACGGCTTCACCCTGATGGATTTTCGATCCAAGGCCTCTAGTAGGCCTGGTGCGGCACTCATCGGTGTAACAAGTTTAAGCCGACAGAACGTACGCAATGTGCGCACATGCGAGCGACAAAGGAAAAAAATACGACACAAAGAGTCAGCACTTACCTTATCGCATAATGTTTTAACTTGGCTCTCCGTGAGTTGTTTGCATTCATTGAGCTGCTCTATCCACTGATCCAGTTCCTTCAACGAGGCTTTCTCCTCCATGACGTGTGTCTACAGGATCAGATAGCGATTGTTAAAATACAATGACAAACATAGCATTCAATACGGATCTATCGGTATGGGCTCACACTTGATTCTGTCCGAAACAGGCTAAAACAAATATAAAAATACTAGCCTGCCCACCCTAGCGCTAAAGAACGGCGACGAAGATTATAAAATGGCCGACGCCTTCCTCTTCTCGTGACGTCACTTCAATACTACGAAGACAAAGAGAGCGGTAGAAAAACGTTTTCTTTCGCACGGTAGTGGAAAAGTCAGAAGACAATGTGTCACCTTTAATTAGAATAAAAATATACGTCACAAAATTCTTCATAACATTAGTTTACCTTCATTAAACAATTTCGGATTTTGTAAAGGTCAATTGACTTTACATCCGGCTTGGAAAGAAAGATGACAAATTTAGCGGGACGTTTTTAAAAGATAGCTCATAACTCCTTTACATACTCATTCAAACGTGAATCACGTTATCACGTGTCTAAACAGGTCTAATGATAAATTAAGTGGCCGATAAGCCGGATAATCAGCTATGAATCATAGGCTCATGGTGTGGCAATGATAAGAAAAGTTGACATCGATATCCCAAGAAAAAGCTGCTCTCTTGTCTCTTCTTTTTATGGATAAAAAGGAGAACATGCCGTTTAAGCATCCCTTTCAATGAGCATAATCTTTGTATCGCCATGTACCTTATGAGGGAGAGGTCTCGTCACACTCATTGGAGTACCGGGACCTGCTTGAGGGTGTGAACGAATTATCTTGCTTCGTACATTCGGAGCTCTAACAGTTGCCATTTCTTCCCTTCGCTGCCTCCCCAATTAAATTATAGAGGTGAGCTCAAAGAATTGAGCTTACTAATTGCGTTGCTGGGCAACGTGTTTTTGGTTAGAGAGAACAGAGGTACCATCATTGCAAGTTTTGGTTTGCGGTTTCATTCAATTCAGTTTTGCAGAATAACACCGTACGCACGGCTGGATGTTTCATACAAAATTAATTCTGTCTTCAATCGAATGTAGGCCACTGATCGTATCTACGTTAAGATGTGTACACTTGCTGTATAATCCGAAAGGAACATACGCTTACATACTGTGCGTGTTTTTGTTTTGTTCAAAAGATTTGTGGAACCGGCGCGGTTCCCCCATCACACTTGAGTTTACGCGGGGTAACATTGTCGGTGATCCAGGCTGACCAACGTTTGAGATGGATGGACGAACAAACAGGTTGAAATGATTTCTTGCAGGAAGACAACAATTTTGAAATAACAAATAAAATAACGCATGAAAATACTCCTCTGTTTTCATAAGTAAATGTTCACGTGGTTTGGGTAAACCTTATAAACGACAATAAACAGCATTTGGCACTACTGTACAGCTCAGTGGTCCCAGTGCCATCTTGCAAGGTTTATTTTGTTGTTGCGGTTGACGTGAAACTATACAAGACGTAATTTCATCACAAGTGCTTGTTTTAATTTTAATAACTATTTTCGGTGAGTAGCTTTTATTCACAAGGATATTATTGTAGATCTTTTAGATCAGGGGTAAGGATGATGTCTCTACAGTGTGGTTCCATTAACCTCTTTCTCCGGCCAGCGAACGTGGGTCGCTTACACGGCCGCTTATTGATTTGATAATAATTTTCTGTCGAATATATGTTGTTTCGGCTACACCATCACCCTTTCGAAATTTCGCCTTAGCTCCCGGCGTTTAGACCAGCCTACTTTCCGTTTATAAAGAGACCTTTTTGCAGAACGCAATTAAGGTTGGGACGACAGACAAGCATTCAGGCTCTCGCATTTTTAAGCCGTTATATTTCCTGTCGTTTATTCGCGTCCAAGAACAATGGGTGTATTCATGTCATTGACTGAAAATACACTTTTCCCCTGGCATTGCACTTATGCTAAACAGGAGCGAATTTCTTGTATATTGATCCTCCCATGTCTGAAGTGAAACACTCAATTACTTTTAAATCCCACAATATTTTGGTTTCATTAAGTGTTGAAAAGATTGTTTTAAATTTAATTTACCTCACTACCAAGACGATAGAGTGATTCACAATATTTTGTATCTTGACAAATTTCATCTGTCATGCTGGAATTTGGTTATGTTCCTTTTGCACACCTTCATAGTGTTTCTTCTGTTTTGTTTTGTTTTTATTCTCTTTTGTGGTTTGTTTCCTCCATTATATTTCAAAATTAAATTTCAGACCTTTAATACATTTCTCTCTCTACCATATTATTCGCTTGCTGTCATGATTCTAAGAATTTTTGTTGTGCTTCCATTATCTAAAGCCTTAGTTTCAATTAGTTTCTGAAATTCAGTGTGTTGTCTAGTTTGCTATAAGAGTAGAAATCAGCTTATGTGTTTATTTCTGTGCTTCTCACATTACTTCTTCAGGTACTATATATCAGGTTAGTCAAATGGTAGGGTTGCCACTCCTGCCTTCACTCTTATTTTTAGCACATGAGTAGTAATGGTGTGAAGGGGACATAATGCCTTAGCCTCTGTGTCATTTTTTGGTTTTTGAAAGTATTTAAAGTACTGATCACAACTACTGCGGATTTTCTCATGTCTGGCCATAACTTATCTCCAGGCTTTTGAACTACCAATGGACACCAACAACAGCTTCCTTGTTAGTGCTCTGATTACCTGTTTCAATTAAACTACTTGTCATCCCTTTGCTTACGAACATTGACCCTACTTACTTTGCAATCAACACCAAATTTATGTCTTAATGTGTGAAAATTTAGCATGAAGGAATATCAATATTTGTCAATGTACGTCTGAATTACTGAAAGATTATGTACTCCAAAGTTTACCATTATTTTGTAATTCTTCAAACTAATGTTGATACATCTTAAATGATTTTTAAGATTGATTGACTTCCTGTTTAGTGCTTTATAATTTGTCCCAACTGATTTTTGATCAGCCTAAAATTCTAACAAATTCATACCTTTGTCAAAGGAAAAAAAACAGAAGAAAGCCATCCAACTTATTTTTGAAAATAGAAAAGGAAAACCACAAATCCTGATTTTTTCTAGGATTCTGTTGCCTTTTTTTCTTTAGTTTCCTTATGGGAGTGTGGTAACCAACTGGATGGCCATGAGAGTTGCATAACAGGATAGACTATCAGGTTGCCCATCTCAGTCAGTCTTCTGGCTGCTTGCTGATAGGGAGGTTGTATTTTGTTTCTGCTCCATCTAACGCAAAGTTTCAATTTTTGGGTTTTGCAGTGCTGTTGGGGATTGGGCTTGAATATGCACAACATGAAAACCGAGGCTGGTACGATTGATCATCGCTCTAATGGAGCTCATGGGTCAGAGCGTGTTGCTATATTAGATGCGGGTGCTCAGTATGGCAAAATAATTGACAGAAAAGTCAGAGAGTTGTATGTGGAAAGTGACATTCTTCCACTTGACACATCAGCTGACATTTTAAGAGACAAGGGATATAAGTAAGTTCTGCTACTGTTTAACATCAATTTAAAATCAAACCATTAAAAGTTAACTATTTTTAATAACCATTTTTAATTACTTTAAGGGCTGTTATAATATCTGGTGGCCCTAATTCAGTGTATGCTGAGGATGCTCCAACATATGATCCAGTAATCTTCAGGATAGGAATTCCAGTTCTTGGTAAGTGGATATTGTACAGATCCAGGAATAAAGTTGGGTGTCTATTATTATATAAGACCTGCTCTACAGCTTTTGTGTAATGTCCCACAATTGTGATAGTTTTGATGATAATTACAAATACTTGCAGGTATCTGTTATGGCATGCAAATGTTAAACAAAGAATTTGGTGGACAAGTTGAAAGGAAAGAGGGTCGTGAAGATGGGCAGTTTGATATTGAGGTTGATCCAACTTGCCTCTTATTCAAGTATGTCTGCTGAAAAATTATGGATTTAACATTTTGATTCACAGTTAAAATGATGATAAACTGCAATTTCTTTTTATATCTTTTTTCTCGTGATAGGGGCTTAGAAAATGTTCAGTCTGTTTTGCTTACACACGGCGACAGTATACACAAAGTTGCTGATCAATTCAAGGTGGTGTCGAGGTCATCGAACTTTGTGGCTGGTATTGCGAATGAAAAGTTGAGATTGTATGGTGTACAATTCCACCCAGAGGTAAGTTCATCCTATAGTACTTTATTGATTTGCTATTCAAAGCAACAATAATACAAAATCTTTATATCTGCAGGTTGACCTCTCAGTGAATGGAAATGCAATGTTAAAAAATTTCCTGTTTGACATCAGTGGACTAACAGGGTCCTTTACAATTCAAGGAAGAGAGCTGGAATGCCTAAATTACATCAAACAAACAGTTGGAAATAACAAAGTTTTGGTATGTCACTATCAATAAAGTTTAACTTTGTTGCAAGATCTCATATCAGATTTCTTGTGTTGTAGCACTAACATTTTTCTTAAATTTTAGCTTCTTGTCAGTGGTGGTGTAGATTCCACAGTATGTGCTGCCCTGCTGCATAAAGCTCTCCACAAAGACCAAGTGATTGCCGTTCATATTGATAATGGTTTTATGCGCAAAAATGAGAGTATGCTTGTGGAGCAGTCTCTCAAAAGGCTTGGTTTGGATCTAAAAGGTGAGCTTGCACTTAAGCCTTTTAATCCCTTTTTTTTTCATGTGTCCATTTATATTTTTCCTGAATGTGTTGTACTCTTTTTGATCTAATTTCTTGTTTGTAGTTATTGATGCTGGCTACAAGTTCAAATACGGTTCCACCAACATACCTATGGACCAGAGAGAGCCTAATGTAAGAAGTCCTGCTTTTAAAGTTACTAAAATTCTTTGTCAAACAACTGCACCAGAAGAAAAGAGAAAGATTATTGGTGATGTATTTGCCAAAGTAAGGATATTTTTCTTTTTCATTTTTCTTATAGGTTTCTTAGTTGTTTTAAAAACTAACTTTTTTGAACAATTTTCTATTTTGTTGTTTTATTTTTAGATTGCTCAGGAAGTAGTTGAAGAAATGAATTTGAGGCCCGAGGATGTTTTTCTTGGCCAAGGAACCTTGAGACCTGATCTTATTGAATCTGCATCTTCAGTGGTAAGCTCAAAAGCTCAGGTAATTAAGACACATCACAATGATACAGAGCTCATAAGACAGTTGAGAGACCAGGGTCGTGTTGTAGAGCCACTGAAAGACTTCCATAAAGACGAAGTAAGTTCCTAGTAGAATTTTCTTATCCTTAAATTTTTTACCAGCACCATATTTGAATTTCTTCTCAATGCTTTTTTCTCATTTTGCAGGTTAGACAGTTGGGAAGGGATCTTGACCTGCCCTCAGACTTGCTTATGAGGCATCCATTCCCTGGACCAGGATTGGCCATTCGTGTTCTTTGCGCTGAAGAACCCTACATGGAACAAGACTTTTCAGAAACACAGGTTCTGGTTAAGATCATAGTTGGATATAATCAAATGGTTAAAAAAAGCCATGCCTTATTAAACAGAGTTGAAAGTGCAACGTCTGCTGATGAACGCGCAGTTCTACAAAGAGTTTCAAGTAAACAGAAATTAGCAGCAACACTCTTACCCATTAGAAGTGTCGGTGTGCAGGTAAATAATTTTTCCATCATAGATTTTATTTGACACAATTTCTCCTCCCTCTCTAATATAATCTTCCTGTTTTCCAGGGTGACTGCCGTTCTTACAGCTATGTTGTTGGCATTTCTTCTGACCAAAGTCCCGACTGGGATGACATGATATTCCTAGCAAAGCTGATTCCACGAGTGTGTCATAATATTAACAGAGTTTGCTACGTGTATGGAGGAATCGTCAAAGATGCTGTGTCAGATATAACATCAACCTGTCTCACTTCAAATGTTTTAAGCACACTTCGGCAAGCTGATTACCTTGCTACTCAGGTACGTCAAGTAACATTTATAGTGCGACCAAACTAGGAAGGAGCCTGGCTTATGGGAGCAGCTCTTCACTACTGCCTCCTCAGCTACCGCCGCCACTCATTGACCCGCTCGGGTCCCACCCACCCTGTCGCATGGCGAGCTACCGCTACAGCAACACTGAGCTCCGCCAGTCTCTCTCCTACTTTGGTTGCACTATAGTGTTTGATCTCTTTTGTAGTGTTTGCTCTTGGATTCTGTTCTCTAATGATTTCTCTATCTCATTTCAGGTCTTAACATCCTCAAATTGCATGCATACATTGAGTCAAATGCCAGTTGTTTTAATTCCTGTACACTTTGATCGGGATTCAGTAAACAGAACACCTTCTTGTCAGCGTTCTGTCGTCTTAAGGCCGTTTGTTACTCAAGATTTTATGACTGGTGTTCCTGCTATTCCAGGAAAGCATTTACCTGTGGAGGTAATAAATCTATTTGACATATCATGTAGAAGTAATTCCTTAATTTCATCATCTAAATGATTTTTTTTCCTTTTGATGGAAAGGTTGTGGAAAGAATGGTTCAAGAAATTCAAGGTGTTCCCGGAATTTCAAGAGTCCTCTACGATTTGACATCGAAGCCGCCAGGGACCACTGAATGGGAATGAAATTCTCAAGTTTTAGCTCAGCAGTGTTGTTGGCATTGTCGCTCACTGCACCCTGCACTACCATGTGTACTGAAAGGTGTGGAATACTGTTATATGCAACCTGGAAGTCCACTTGTCCACTGCTTTAACCTTGGGACCTATTTGGTCCTACTAATCAATTTGTGCAAATTCAGAATGAAATGCCATTTGCCTATTCATAGTGTGTTAAAACATGCAATGATAAATCATGATCTTCAACCATGGCAGCCAGGGATCTATTTTATTCATAAAACCTTTGACGCCTGAGGGTTTAAATCTGTTATTGATCCATGTAAAATCATTATTGTATATGCTCGTGTTTCTGATTTTATGTACTTTGTACCATGTTCTCTCCAATGAAATTATTCCTGGTTAGTGAGAAATTTATTATAA